ACACACACACACACGCACACACACACACACACACACACACACAGCTTCACCACAGGGAAAATCTGAGCCGCTCAGACAAAACATCATATTGACACTGAGGCTGATGTTCCTGAGCCAGAGTCGCTCCAAACACACGATCAGCGGCGGGTGAAGTGTTTACAGCACTCAGACTAAATCATCAGCTGAACAATGCTACTGTTATACTCCCACAATTCACGGCACTTCGGAAAAAGAGCAAGGAATACAGAAGCTAGCGGCTGCTAAATGTTTTTTTTCCACTGGTTTTCAGGCTTTGGACTCATTTACTGTATATAAGAGCCTGAAACCTGTTGAGTTAAAGCATTTGTTCACCCAAAAAAAAGTTGTCATTTTCTCTCCAAAGTTGTTTCAAATTCATATTGCTTTCTGAACCTGAATACACTGCATCGAAATGAGTCATGCCAGGCTTGACGTCAATAATGAGACACTAGAAAGTCAATGATGTTTGACGTCAAACTGGGCATGACGCATCTAAATTGTATAAATTCAGAAGTTTGGACACACTAGACTGAATTTATGTTTCTCATTATTCTAAAAATGGGTTTTGTACATAAATGTACAGTACTTGTCAAAAGTTTGGAAACATTATGACTTTTAAATGTTTTTAATGAAGTCTCTTCTTCTCACCAAGGCTGCATTTATGTGCTCAAAAATACAATAAAAACTCAAATATTGTGAAATATTATTACAATTTAAAATAACTGTTTTCTATTTGAATATATTGTAAAATTTAATTTATTGCTGTGATCAAAGCTGAATTTTCAGTTTTCAACATTGATAATAATCAGAAATGTTTCTCGAGCAGCAAATCAGCATATTATACTGATTTCTGAAGATCATGTGACACTGAAGACTGAAGTAATGATGCTAAAAATACAGCTTTACATCACAGGAATAAATTAAATTTTCCAATATATTCAAATAGAAAACATTGTAACAATATTTCACAATATTACTGTTTTTACTGTATTTTTGATTGAATAAATGCAGCATTGGAGAATTAAAGACTTAAAGTAAGAGTGTTTCGATTCCAGCATTTCCGTACTTTCATTGATCATGATGCTAGAAGGGAGCAGTTACCGTACCTGTGGCACACTGACGATGCACCAGTGTTTTAGTGTTTAAAGCACTCACATGCAGTGTGGTGAGAAGCGTCTCCAGTGCGCTGGGCTCGTCTGATGAGGAAGAGGAAGACCTGCGCTGCAGCTGGAATTTACTGACGGGAATCCAGCGTAAGCCTTCCAGCGGTGCGCATGCGCTCGTGTCCTTCATCAGCACCAACACTGCGTTACCATGCTTATCCTTGATGGGCTCAAAATACACCTGCCCGAGATCCACCGTGCCAAGGAGAGCCTGCACAACAAACCAAAAAAGAAACTTTACCTCAGGATACTATATTTGTTACAGGTGTAAATAAATCTCAACTTTAAAGAGGTCATAGGATGCCCATTTTCCACAAGTTGATATGATTCTTTAGGGTCTTAATGAAAAGTCTGTAACATAGTTTGGTTAAAATTTCTCAATGGTAGTGTAAAAAACCCCCTTTTTTCCCCGATGACCCCTTTAACAACAGTTTGATTGCAGTTCTTTACTAAATTATGCAAATCATTAATAATTTTGGTTATTTTGATGCATTTTTACGTCCCCAGTGACTATAGACTTCACCTGTAGCTGTGCAGCTGCCTGCAGCAGTTTGAGGCGCGTCTGCAGCGTGCAGGAACTGGAGGCGTGTGCAGGACTGATGCACTGCTGCATCCAGGTGAGCTCCTCCCACAGATGTGACACCTGTCAATGCACGTCACCATGGAGACCATGTTTAATATTCAAATGTTGACACTGTATACTGCGGTGGAAATTAGTGAATCAGTTTTGGTGCAATGAACGATTTCATATTTAATTGGATTGTAAAATTAATCTCCTTATCTTTAGCAATGTGAACTACATTTACAATGTGTTTATATATTAAATCAAAATGATAGATTAATTATATAAACTGTTATTATATAAATATATTGTTATATATTATATCCATTTATATGTGAGGTCCTTTGAGTGATTTTTAAAAAAGCAAAATATTTTTAAAAACTACACACACATATATATATATACACACAGAAAATAATATTATATAACATTTTTATATTACATTTTTGCATTATTATTTTTATTTATATATTTTTTATTTTTTAACAATGTGAAATAAGTTTAATACATTAGTTATACTTAATTAAAACTAATCAAATCAAAACTATACATAAATTATACAAATTGTTATTATATAAAATTTTTTATATTATACATAATTGTTAACATATACAGTATGTATATATACAGTGGGTACGGAAAGTATTCAGACCCCCTTAAAATTTTCACTCTTAACAATATTGCAGCCATTTGCTAAAATCATTCAAGTAAATTTTTTTTCCTCATTAATGTACACACAGCACCCCATATTGACAGAAAAACACAGAATTGTTGACATTTTTGCAGATTTATTAAAAAAGAAACACTGAAATATCACATGGTCCTAAGTATTCAGACCCATATTTAGTTTTTATATAAATTTTTTTTTACATACATATGTTTACTATTGTATTTTTAGAGCTGCTTTACAGCAGAATTGAAGTTTGTTTGCATCACTGGATCAATATTTTCTTGTCTATAACTGTAAAGCTGCTTTGAAACAATCCATTTTGTATAAAGCGCTATATAATTAAAGCTGACTGATATATAAAATATTATATATTTATATAATTTACATTTTGTTTTTTAAAAACAATTATAATACTAACAATTATATATAATAACAATTACATTTATTTAAACAAAAAAAGCTAAAACTAAACTACAGGCAATACACTTCACCAAACCAGTACTATTACAAAAGCTCTGATTGGTTATATCACAAGAAGGTTCAACAGAGTGATTTGGTTGCGTGCAACCTTTGTAAACCAGAGTAAATCCTGCGCGTGACAGCTGTACGAGTCGTCCACCTCAACGACGGGCAGCTGATCCTCTGGAGTCACCAGAACGTTTTCATCTTTATAAAATATACAGGCCAGATAAAGACCTCTACAGAGAGGAAGAGAGAAAGTCATAGATAATGCAAGATATGGTGTTTTTGAGAGCGTTCAACACTGCAGCAGGCATTTTCTGATGCTGTTTTCTCTCACCTTTTCAGATTTTTAACAAATTTGCTGGTGGCCTGGAAGAGATGCCTCAGACTTTTAGACACAGAATGTTTCCTGGTGTTTGACGAGGCTTTGCATTGTTCTAAACACACAGAGAGGTCAGACATGTCAAATACAGCACAGATATTCATGTAGAGGTGTTCAGATGTGCAGTTTTAGCTTTCAGATTAAATGATAACTCACTAATAGTATTTGCTTTTCAATAGTAATAGCTGTTGCTTTTTAACTTTATCTTGAATATTCATAAGGATGCAGATTAGACCCATTAATGAATATGAAGTACATATAAAACACTAGTGATTGAAATAGAATAAAATGCATAGCTTTTTGACATACTGACAAAAATGGCAATTATTATAATCAAATAATTATTTAAATTAAATGACCAAAAAGACATACTTAATCCAAAAAATTAAAAGTCTTGTTTTTAAGACTTAAGCACATGTAAAGTATACTTTTGTTGTACAGAATGTAATTTATGCTGATTTTAACAGAAAAAAAGAACAACACCTTATGACAGGATGATTTCCATTACAGCATTCTAATAATAAAATTAGATTATTTTTTCCATACAGTAATGAGAAAAGGAGTTTAAATGTGTTTAACGGTTGTAAAAATAATACAATTAAATAAAAAAAAGTACATGATATTATATACCATGATAACACTACAACACTGTTAGTGTAGCATTCAAAATTTCATTTTTGGCAATAAATCTCCCAGTTTTTGTTTTTTTTACAGACCCCAATTGAAGTGACTTTAAATTGGTGCGACTCTTTATGCAGTGTGTGTGAATGAAGGAAGGTAAAGCATCTGCTTGACTCCACATATTTTACAGCCAGCAGTGAGAAGACCGTGAAGTATGAAAGCCCGTTTCCACCACTGAATAAATAATAAAAAAGGTGACTTTATCTCACAATTCTGACTTTTTTCTTGCAATTCTTTTTTCTCAGAATTGCGAGCTGTAAACTCACAACTGCGAGTTACGAAGTCAGAATTGCAAGATATAAATTGTGACTATTTCTCAGAATTGCAAGTTTATATCTCAAAATTCTATTTTTTCTCAAAATTGCGAGTTAATATGTCAATTCTGACTTCATAACACACAATTGTGAGATTTAAAGTCAGAATTGTGAGATATGAACTTGTAAAATTTTAAGAAAATCTTGTAAGATTGTCTTTTTTTCCCTCAAAACTGGACAATTATCTCTTCTTTTTTTTATTCAGTGAAGATGATGCCTATGTATCTAAAGGCTCTTTTCTAGTTTAATTGAAAATTGTTTAATTTAGTTTAACTTTACTCCCTACAGTCAAGTCAAATGTATCCCCTTTAACTCCCAGTAAAATAAACCCTCAGCGCTGATGCCATAAAAACAACAAACAGGACCCCCGGCATCGCCCCGCAGACACCCGCGCTCCAGCCCTCTGAATCATTCACTCAGCATTTGTTTTAAAGCGCTGTAATGTTAGTGGTGGCGGTGACTCGCTGTGAATGAGGAGGGTTTCATTCGGGTCCAGTGTGAGTGAGTGCGTGTTTACCGTGGCAGGCGCAGTGACGGTGTGCCCCTTTAATTTGCACCAGGAGCTGCTCCAACGCCTCTTTCAGACCCTGCTGGCGGGGGGGAAGACCGTCCACCTCCCTCCAGCCTGCAGAAAGACAGAGAGAGATAAAAAAAACAATGCATTGTGGGTAAAAAAACAACAGATGCATATGAAAAGGTCTGACAAAGGCCTTTCAAAGCTGTGGGAGGTTGGTTGCTAGGGTGTTGTGGGTGGTTGCCAGGGCATTGCTAGGTTGTTGCTAGGAAATTTCATCTTGTTTGCCCATGTAAAAGTTGCCAGCACAATGCTAAGGTGTTGCTATGCAGTTGCTAGGGTGTTGTGAGTGGCTATCAGGGCACTGCTGGGTGGTTGCTATGGTTTTCTGGGTGGTTGTTAATGTGTTACTAAGGTGTTGTGGGTGGTTGCTAGGTGATTTCCTATGGTAACTGGTGTTTGTTCATGTAAAAACTGGCACCACAATGCTTAATGCTATGCAGTTGTTAAGGTGTTGTGCGTGGTTTCCAGTGCATTGCTAGGCGGTTGCTATTTTGTTGTGGGTGGTTGCTAGGTGATTTCCTATGGTAAATGCTGTTTACCCATGCAAAATTTGCCAGCATGATGCTAAGGTGTTGCTATCCAGTTACTAGGGTGTTGTGGGTGGCTGCTAAGTGATTTCCTATGGTAACTGTTGTTTGCTCATGTAAAAGTTGCCAGCACAATGCTAAGGTGTTGCTAGGGTGTTTTGGGTGGTCACCAGGACATTGCTAGGTGTTTGCTATGGTGCTGTGGGCGTTTGCTAGGTGATTTCTTATGGTAACCGGTGTTTGCTCATGTAAAAGTTGCCACAACAACGCTAAAGTGTTGCTATGGTGTTGTGAGTGGTTGCCAGGGCATTGCTATGTGGTTGCTATGGTGTGGGTGGTTGTTAAAATGTTACTAAGGTGCTCTGGGGGGATTGCTAGAATAGAAGGTTCCCAAGGCATTGCTTGGTGGTTGCTATGGTATTCCTAATGGTGGCTAAGGCATTACTAGGGTGTTCTAGGTTGTTGCTGGGAAGTTGCTAGGGTGTTGACATAGGATGCAGAGGCAATGCTTGTGGCAGTGGTTGCTAAGGCATTACTAGGTGGTTCTAGGATGTAGCTAGAATGTTCAGTGTGGTTGCTAAGGTGTTACTAAGGTGTGGTGTTAGGGTGTTCTGGCTGGTTGTTAAGGTGTTGAAGAAGGTTGCCACGGCATTGCTTTGTAGTTGCTATAGTGTTCAGGGTGGTAAATATTTACGACCAGACAAAACCTATGTGATTATGTAATGTGTGTACACTAATCTGTCAGTAAATCATTCAGTATTAACCTTATATCCCTGCATCAGGCGCACACTCACACTCACACGCTCTCTTAGGACAGTAAACAGGATGATGTTCTGACGGTGTGTTGGTTGCAGGCCGGTTCCTGAGGAAGCAGGGAAAACATGGATACTCTATTCCGGGAATGTCTAACACAGACCCTCTCTTCAGCCCAGCTAACCTCACCAAGAGTGTGTGCGCGTGTGTGTTATGAAAGAGATACAGCGAATGGGAAAAAGGACGCAAACTTGATGTAAATAAGAGAAATTGAGTGAAAATCATTTCTGTGTGTGCGTGTAAAATGGCGTGTGTATGTGAGCGTGAATTGTAGAGGGAGACAACAAGTGTGTGTGTGTGTGTGTGTGTGTGAGTTGGTGTATAAGAGCCGTTCTGTCTGCGACTTTACAGCTTCTCACAGACATGCAAATATTTCCAGAGGGAGTCGAAATGGAAAACACAAACACACATTTAAATTAGCATGCTCAACACACAGACACACACAAACACACTTGACGTAAAAGAGCCCTAAAATCTGTGGGAGAAAAGGAGAGCTTGTCCTCACAAACATAAAAAATGAGGACACAAGACATAACATACACAAACACAGATACATAATCTCACACACACACACACACACACACACAGACACGTCATGCAACTTCTTAGAAAGCAAACGTGACTAACATCTGTCCTGTTTGTTGTTGTTGAATGTGTGTGTGTGTGTGTGTGTGTGTGCGTGTGTTCTCACTTGAAGGTGTAGCACAAGCAGGTTCAGCTATCTGAGGTGAACTCCATCCCTTCATATTATATGCTGATACTTGGACATAGCAGCATGTGCCCTGAAACGAGAGATGCTGTATTTAACACAACCTTCCACTGGAAAAGATGCGATGTGTTTAATTCATTAAAAATATAGATTTTTTTCAGTAGAGTTCAAATTCATCAGGCTTTTTTCATGTTTATTTAATTATTTGTTTGTAAAACATTTTTTGTCTTTTTTTGTTTGCTCACTTTTGTTGTTCTTACAAAACCAATAAAAACCAATATTTTTATTGTTTTATTGTGCACCGATGTTGTTATAATTAACTAACAATAAAAATAAAACTATTAAAATTTGTGTTCATCGATTAAAATTAAATCATCGAAGTGACTTATTTTTTTTTGTTTTTGGTTATTTTAATGCTTGTTTTGTCTTAATTTAAATTTTTTTTTTAGAGTTATCTTGCTGAGGCCTCCTAGTAGTTGAGATCCGCTGCTTTCATAAAATGCTTGTTCTTTCATTCATAAAACTAAAAATACATTTCTGGGTTAATGTGTTCTACAAAGATGGAGCAGGTCACAAATAACTTTAATGTCAGCTCCGTTTCTCACACAAAGCTATCATATGGCTTCAGAAAATCTGAAATATAGTGCACAAGCTGTATGATGTGAAGCTTTCCGGTGCTTTTTGGAGCTTGACAGCTGTGGTAATATTGTTTGCAGTATGGTTTACTCCACATACTAACCGCTGGAAGTCCAGTGATGTCATACTGGAGCTGAGTCACGTCTTCAATGACCGTCTCACTCAGTAATGGAGTAAATGAAGGAACGCTGCTCCAGCTCACTGAGACACACATAAGCAAGCAGTCATTCAGCAGATGCACAGACCGAGCTGCACTGACTAGTCAACTAGTTCTACCACCATGCCATACTGTGTCTACTAATCACATATCATGCGGTTTCAACTGTACTTGTTCTATATGGTGAAACAAACTGTGTCCTGGTCTATTTGTGTGCTGTTGTTTTGTATAATGTGATAGCAAAATGTGAAAATGAAGAGATACGGGGTAGTTTTTTTGTTCACAAAGTCTCAGCAAACTTCTAAACTTCTAAGATGGTCTAAGTTTGTTTGCACCACTCAGGGACCCATTAAACAACCCTAATGTCTGACAGATACTACAAGGGTAATATGTTTTTTTTTGCTGTTTATAACAGCATCAGGGTTATTATCAGCAAATATTTAACAAAATTAATTAATTAACTAAAAGTAAAGCTATTAAAACATTTTTGTTATTTGCAATACAGCTGGAATAAAACAAAATATAACTATTAGACAAACTAAATTAAAATTGTAATTTTTACCTTTGCAACTAATTTAAATAAGTAAATTACTAGCTGCAAATAAATGAAAACTAAAACAAAAAAAGTGTAATATTTAAAAAAAATGTAAAATAAAAATGACAAAAAGCACATAAAATTACTAAAAATTTAACTAATTAAAATAAAACGGAAAATATCTAAAATAAAAGGCAATTAAAAATATTTAAAAAACTATGTAAAATAAAAATGACAAAAAGCACATAAAATTACTAAAAATTTAACTAATTAAAATAAAACAGAAAATATCTAAAATAAAAGGCAATTAAAAATATTTAAAAAACTACAATACTGTATACTTATTTTACTTACAACTACTTATTTTTACTACTTTAAAACTGAAAATATATGAAAATAAAAAAGGCAATTAAAAATATTAATAAAAACTACAAATATATAATAGTGTGAATTTGGCAATGGAGCTACATGATATATGTGAAACGTGACATCATCTCGATATAATGTGGCATATATTCTCTAGTTGGCAGTCAAATTGCTGATTCTCATCAGCTAGTTGACTAGTCAGTTGTGTGTGTTCATGTGTTTTAGTGGTATAATCTAAATCTTAAAACAGGGGTCAGGGGTCACTCACCGCGGTATTTGGTAATAACAGCAGAATTGTGACAAAGAGGCTCTTGGAAGTAAACTCTGAGACTGGTGCTACTGCTGACGGACAGATGAACGACACCGGGAGGCTCAGGAGGACCTGGAATCAACACAAAGACACACTCAGTGCCACACACGGCTGCTATATCCTCAGGTGTGTGTGTGTGTGTGTGTTACTTACTGGCGTGTGTGTATCCCGTCTGCATGCGCACGTAGAGGCGGAGCTTCCATTCCCAGGTTTTCAGCTGTCTCTCTATGTTTGACCCCTCCCCCTCCCTAGGCTCCTCCCCCGTCACCTGGGCAACCAGCTCTGCTATGCGATGCTCCGCCTCTAGCACCAGGGAGGCCAGGTGAGCGGCTCTGCCTTCAAGACTTAGAACTAGAGGATACAAAAAACACATTAAACAAACGCCAGCAAACATCTTGTCAAATAATGAAAAATAAACCACAGTTTTGATTCTTCAAACTTTTTAACTCAGGAACAGTTTTAAGTACGTTTTAACCATTTCATTTCCTATTTGGAAAGTAATGACGAGAAAGGAAAAGATGTCTTGTTTAGTTTTTTCTCATTTTCTTTGAAAACAAAAATTGGGCTCGATTTCTCTTTTTTATTATGTACAATAATGTTTATGTCTTCAATATTTTATTCGCACATGTGAGCGGCACTAAAACCCCTTTCATTTAATTAGTCAAACCAATTCCACTGAAAATTTCACTTTATTTTCTATACTTGTGTACAGTTAAATGTCAGTAAAAATGAATTAATCGATTTTAAATGTGCACTGAATGAGTTATGAATGAGCCATGTTCACCACTGTAAAATATATAAAAAGCAAATTAATTCAAATTATCTTTGATAGTTATATTACTTTGTTACAAATAATGGTTGAATATCAAGAAATGCTGCATATTTAAATGTTTCATCATATTTCACCCCAAAATGAGCTTGTTTTATGATTTTTAAATTTTTATGAAAATTCTCCCTAAAAATTGTATTACTGAAATGTAAAAAAATAACCTTATTCTTCTTACTTGAATATGGTAATAGCAATTACATGTTTTTAAAATCAGCATAAATTAAGTTGAAAACAGCAAACACTACCAAGATAATTTACAATGTGATTATTTACAATAAAAATAATAATTTTTAATAATAAAAAATGTATGCTTCATGTTCTTTATGCAAAATATAATATAGAATAATATATTTTAATACAATACAATATAATAATATATGTCAAATTAAATAATAAAATAGAATGTGCATATTTTTATATATTAAATGTAATGTTTTATTGTATTTTTTTATTTTAATATGAAATATGACCTGGACATTCCCAAACATACTACAGTGAAAATAATGATAACTATATAAAGTGGCGTTAAAACTGACATTTCGTTTTGATCATTGGTGTTGCATACCATATCACATTGCTGCTGCCGCCGTTTGACTGAAGCAATAAGCCACTACAGCTTTATTGTAATGTATAGCATGTGGCAAACATCTGTAGATGTATGGTTTATGATTCATAAAGTGGGGCTCGTGCTGCATGCGTTTGATCACAGGGAGTGTGTACTCACAGTGGGGACTCTCTTTGGCCCCGGCTCTCAGCAGAAGTTTGGCCATGGGGACGTTGTTGGTCATGATGGCGATGTCGAGCGGCAGCAGTCCTTCACTGTTGGGGGTGTTTAAGTCCAGCTCCTCCAGACTGAAGGTGTTCAACAGAGACTCCACGACGTCCAGCTCCTGATGCTCCACGGCTTCAAACAGAGCTTCGTTTCCCTGGAACTAGACATGCATGCATAGATATATCTCCCACACATAGAAAAATGCATGCTGTAAAACTGCAAACACAGACATGCATGAAATATACCAATGCCATTTTTGACTGCATGTGATTTTTGAATTGCAATATGGTTCTTTGAAGGTTAATGCATCATCAGTTGCGATTGGTTGCCTTATAAAGCAAAATTTAGCCCACAAATACGAGCACATTTAACATGTCCAGTAAGTCAAGGCTAAATGAGAATAGGCCATAGTATGGAAAATTGGGTGAGTAATGCCTCCGTCTAAGAATAATAGCCATTGAGAACAGTAGGCACATATAAACACATGCAATCCTGCACACATGTGTATGTGTTGAGCTTACTGATGGTAAGAGATTACTCTTTACCGTTTCCCCGAACACGTGTTCACATTTACCTCCGAGATCAAACTCAGCCCAATACTGCCGCTAATGTGGCCGCTAAATTACCCGCTTTGTTTCATGTGAGACAATGATAAAAGCTGGAGAGTAAATTTGTCCCTCGGTTTTTAGATCTGATGTTGCTATACAGAAAATAAACGAAAACATTCCTGGGCTTATTCTGCACAATTCATCAATGCATGTTATTCCATCATATTTAAAAAATATATTTTTTTTAAGTGCCCCTATTATGCCATTTCCAATATTGCCTTTCATGCCGTGTGTAATGTAGCTGTATGTGAATGTAAATGATCTGCAAAGTTGTAAAGTGCACGATAAATAGTTATTAGCTATGTTTCCATCCACCTACTTTTATGTGCATTTTGGATGATCGCATAAAATAAATTCCACCATGCGCACTGAAAAAGTCATGTGACTTTGCGCTATGAGACGGGATAAATTGACTAACCAGCGGACCGATCTCGTTCACAGCATCTATATGTTGTTTTGGTCGTTCTGAAATGCCTGAGGAAAGTCTGTCATCAAAGTATTTCTGTATAATTACTGTCTTACATGACTGCGTTCCCAAACAGCAGGCATCCACCTCTAAAAGCAATGACCGAATTTATTGTGTTACATCTGCTCTCTCTGAAGCGCAAGTAATTTATTACATATGAAAATTATTATATACAGTGGCTTCTCCTAGTCTTCTTAGAGATATTTAGTGCCAGTTTATCAGGAAGTGACGATTGTGTTCTCTTTGGCTCGTTGGATGGAAACTGTGCTTTATTCGCAAATGTTTTATGTGATGTTCCAGTTTTGTGCATCAGTTAAATTAAATTAAAAAAGTTAAATTCGCATCTTTGGATGGAAACATAGCTATTGTCTCCCAACATAAAGAATTAACTCTGTACAGCCGTAATTCGAATCCCAATTCCATGACGGCTACACGTCACTGGGTAACACATTTGCATAATTCCCGCCTATGTTCTACGTTGGCCGGCTGCGAACAACTTGACCCCACCCACAAACACGTCATTTTACTGACGACTGCTTCTCTAATCTCAGGGAATTCAATGCGGGATTCACAAAACACTTGCTGTTGAAAGATGGATCAGTACCCAGTTTATTTGGACCAGTTGGCTTCACTGAATCACAACCTGTAAGTATGATAAATAATAAATGTTTATATTTTCTATCGAGTGTTCAAAATACGGAACTACGGCAATGGGCGTATTGTTTCCTGACACGTAGACCAATCACAACAGACTGGGCCATCTGACCAATCAGAGCAGAGTAGGCTCAGGGAAAGGAGGGGTTTAGAGAGACTGAATCTTAGAACTGCTTCGAACGAATCGTTTGAGAATCACTGGAAAATGAGGTGATATTAAATACTTATTTTGAAAAAACAAGTGTTTTTTGACCATGCATGCATGTTATTCTATTGCAGGAGACTCCCAAAACAATATTAGGAACCTTTTACATAACACTGACAGCAAGAACAAAGATAAACAGTGCATTTAACCTTTAATATTGTTTGCTGTGTATAATGGGATGTACAATCTTTGCCTTTTTCAAATTTTAATATACTTTCAATCAAAGTTGGGTTTAGGCTTTATTGAATTTTAAATGTTTTTTATTTTACTGCTTTTGATTTTAATAATTTATTAGTAAATGTTAAACTTAATCTTAACTAAGATTAATATAAGTATCATTCATGTTAACTAATGTAGTCAACTAATGTCAATAAATGGAACTTTACTGAAAATGGTTACCAATTATTTTATTTATTTATTTTATTGAAATTTTATTGAAATTCAATGGAAAAAAGGTTTTATTTACTGTTAGTTTCAACTTTCATTGAACAAGTTTAAAAATGTTGTCTCTTTTCACAACAACTAAACGTATGACTATAGAATATGCATATTTAAACAAGAAAAAATATAACAAAAAATGAAACAAGTTATTTAAGAATTCAGAATTTAGAAATCTAGGAAAAAACCTTCAGAATCTAAATGTAGAATTTAGAGAACAGAAAAATAGATTTTCACCATATATTCCAGCCGAATTATATTTTAACAAACCCTCCTCTAATAACCTTCATAAGGAATAAAACTGGAAAGTTTGGATTTCCGGTGCTACTGAATTTCTCATTTTGAACAAACGGCCTTTAAATATATGTATTGTAATTAAAATCTCTTTTGACAACAGTAAAACATATCACTTCAGATTGTGCATCTTTAAAAAAGAAACAAATTGAAAAAAATTAAACGTTACCAGTAAAGTTATTTAGCACTTAATTTAGAATTCTGAATTTAAAATCTGGAAATTGTAGAATCTAAATGTAGAAATTAGAGAGAAGCTTTTCGATATTATGTTGCATTCATAAAATTATCACATCATTATTCAGTTCAGTTCAGTTGCATTGCATTCAATTAATATCGTTTTCAGAATATTAAAGAACTAAGAAAGAACATCGTAGACAGAGACGTTTTTACCTACACTACTTAGTAAAATTTTGAGCTTCCTTAACTATAATCACGAGTTTGTGAATGATTTTACTCATTAGGTTAATTCTGACATTGAACCAATTAAATAAAGTATAAATTTAGAGATACATGTTTGATTCTAAACAACTGCATGAGTAGATTTTATGTCGACACACGACTGCAAGAGACGCAACGATAAGAATGCACGGATGTGTGAGAGAAACAGTGATTCTGCCAAACAAAACTCTGGTGACATTTGGAATGTTTTACGAAAAATGTGCCAAGAGCGGATGGGACGACGTCTCTCTTTCTTTTAGAGTAGCTGGCTATAACAGAAGGAAAGGGTGCAGAGGAACTCCTCTCCGAGGGTTAAATGTGGCTGCGAGAAGGAGAGTCTGAAATTTGATTCTTGGCACCAGACAGACTGCAGTCCGACCAGCCAAAATTTGGAGGGGGAGTGTGTGTGACAGTAAGCAACAGGAGGGGGGCAGTGAGGACAATATTACCGATTAGTGTGTGTGTGTGTGTGTGTGTGTGTGTGTGTGTGTGTGTTACTGGGGTAAACAGAACCCCTCTCTCTCTCTTGTGTACTTCATGCCTAGTGGAGCCAGTCTAACCCTTCGACCTCTCATACACACAATGGGGAATCAAAGCTAATCAGATGATTCCCTCGCCATTTGAAAGACACGCCGACAGGTTTGCATGTCACCACAGAGATCTTCAGCATGCAAACGCACTTCAGAATCAGAATCTCACAAGAACGGGTCACATTTCTGCTCAAAATCAACAGACAAGATATAAGATATTATAGTTGCCATAATCAAAGCATATTTTTAAGAATGTCCCATTATTTTAATGACAATTAAGCAAATTTCCCACCAAAAATTCTCATTAATATAATGCATCTGGGCATTTTACTTTTCAGTTTTTTCTCAGTAGTGATTATCATAATAAACTACAGGTGAATAGGATTTGAACTAATAGATCTCTTCACACTTTCCCCAGCTGATTAATCACAGTACAGTAAGACAACTGCTTTGTATGACAAGTTTTCTGAAATGCTGTTTGAATATGCAAATGAGGTATTATCTAATTAAATTTGCATACATTTCTAGAACAAAAATCTGAACAGTTGATGCAGCCAGGCTTAAAATTGTTTCATTTTGTTGACATACTAGGATATTTTTGATGTCTCTTTTTATTACTGTTAAAACACTGTCAACAGATTTTCACCATATATTTAGGAATAAAAACCCGCAAAATTGACCAGTGCATGAATTTTGCCTGCAGTTTCTTCCTTTAAAATGCTTTAAATCATTAAAAATATTTTACAATTTAAATAATATATTGTATGCATATAAAAATTATATATATACATATATATTCACATTACAGCAATAAAGACACTTTTCTGCATTACAACAATATAAATAAATAAAAGAATGTCTGATTGCAAAACAAAAATCTCCAAAAATAGGTTTCATTTTCATTAAAGAAAATGCATTTTCTTTCATTTGAATTTGCAGTGAAATGCGTTTCGTGTGATTCACCTGTGCACACGCGCATGTTGCTTTGACGGCATTAGAACAGGAGCAAGTTTGTTTAACGCAGTAAAGCCATGGTCTTTTCCCATCATGTGTGCGTCTGCGCATTTCTGCTGCGGGCGTATGCATTCTAATCCGCGCAGATTAAGAGATTAACCGCGGGAGTATTTGTGTGCATGCGGCGGTATGCGCGTGTGTTGTCGCAGTAGTAGTCGCTCCCCTGTGAGAGTGTTTGCTGTGTGGAGTTCAACTGCCCGCCACCTGTTCACCCCCCCACCCCAGGGGGAAAATCTCTCTAATTCTGATGAGCAGAGACAGAAGACCGTCGCCATGGGGATGTTCTGCAAGGGGACAGGACGCGCGTGTGAGCGCGGGATCAATCAATGTATGAATGCATGTGCGCCGATGTGTCTTTGTGCATCGGCCCCGTACGTGTGTGTGTGTGACGTTAGGCCCGTCTAAGAGGCTCTGGCGACAGACAGCTCGGCGTGCAGGAGGTGACAGGGAGTCTGCTTGAGTCTCTGTGCAGTCCCGAAAACAGGGGGGCCCAGCCCGCATCATGCCCAGCCAGGGTGGCTACATCCTGGGGACACGTTGCCCCGAGACTCCCCGGAGTTATATGTGTCTCTGGAGCCCGGATCCCAATCTGCCATATGCCATGACCCAGATGCGGCCGCCGATACAAACCTCTTCTCATGCACAAACAAAAGCACATAAACTCGTAGTTCAACACCATAAAAGTGCATACTAGCAGGTTTACAATGGGCTGATTTAAATACCTTTGAACTGAAAATCCTTTACTTAAAGGGATAGTTCAGCCAAAAATTTAAATTTTGTCATCATTTACCCACCCTCAAGTTGTTCCAAACCAGCTTCTTTCTTCTGTTGAACGTAAAGGAAGATATTCTGAAGAATGTTGGGAAACAAACAGTTGCCGGTAGCCAATGCGTTCCATAGTATGAAAAAAAAATACTATGAAAGTCAATGGGTACCATCAACCAAAATACATTAAAATGTCTTGTTTTACATTCAACAGAAGAAAGAAACTCATACAAATTATGACATTTTAAATTTTTAGGTGAATTATCCCTTTAATTTGGTTTTCGCAGTCGAAAACGACCGGCCTTTTAAAAATGGCTTGTATTTCTCTTATTTATATAATCTCTTATTATGCCGTATTACCACCAAATCTGGGATTCGATCTTCCAATTAGCACAGGTTTTGTATTTATTTTTGGAATTGATTGGTGGTAGGCCTCATTTTGGAGTGAAAAAAGCATTATTTATGGATAATTTTGGATATGTCCTTTCAAAAACAGAGGTGCATGAGCTCAGATCAGTGAGGTCTATGATCAACCAGTTCCAAAAAGAAATACAAAACCTGTGCTAACCGACAGAAAACAAGTTGACAAAGAGATTGAATCCAATATTTGGTAATAATAAAGCATAATGATAAATATATAAGCAATTTTTTGCGTAGGCCAGTAATTTTGGACTGGGAAGACCACAAGTGTAACAAAGTGGGGAAAAATCCTAAAAAAGTACAAAAATGATCCAGTTTTTGGGGAAAGCTGTTATACCATATTTGTGCAAAGTCAGTAAGTTTTAGTCCAATGTGATCACAGTAACTAGCAATTTCTGCACATATAAACATATTTCATCCAACAAAAAAATGTGCAGTATAGATATATTTTATATATATATATATATATATATATATATATATATATATATATATAATTAGATACAGATGTTTAAACATGAATTTAAACAGATGTTTCCAGTCATTCCTATATTTAATATTTTTTTATATTTAACACAAATGCTCTTTATGGCTGCGAAACAGAAAACATTTTTTCTTATTTAAAATATACTACAGCATAGTATTCTGTACAATAGGCTATATCATTTATTTGTGTAGTTTGTGTGAAATATTAGTTTCCTACCCAGCCAAAATATTTGCAGTCACAGTGAGATCAAAAATAAACTATTAAATAAAATCAAATGGGCCTATTTAATTATATGTTTGCTATTTTAACTATATTATTGACTAGCTCTTTATATAATGTTGGACACAGAGTATGGCCAACTTTATTTGCATACATACAGTATACTCACATAAAGGGATATATACTATATATCAAATCTAGACTGCTTGATTGCTTGTATCGTCGCAAAATGTAACTATATTATCATCCAGCTCTAAACTGCTAAATGCGACATCATGATTTTGTGTAAAGCTGCTGTGAAACAATGCATATTGTGAAAAGCACCATTAAAAATTGTGTGTCTAAATTAGTAATTGCGGTCAAACGTTGGTAATTTTTCGAGAGATTAATGTGCCTTTAAAACAAAGCGCATGATGATGATCTCAGAAAAAGCGCCCAAGAAAAGCATGTTGGAAGTGAGTCAGATTTGTGAGTTTTGGACATGCATCAGCCGTGACAGATGGAGAGGGTGGAGAGCAGAGAGACAGTCAGAGCTGGAGTCATGATGTCTGTAGAGATGAGCAGAGGAAAAACTTTGGGTAACTAGCAGCATTCAGAGCCAGCATGGCTTCTCTGGCATCTTTTGAGTCCAAATGGCTGGTCAACCTCTCGCAAACTAGTTTTAACTGTTTAAAATGACATTATTGAAAACATAGACTGATGCAAATGTTGTGTTACCAGTCCACACTGAGAGAGCGCCTCCTGTAGGCCGGAGGTCTGGACGACTGACTCCTGTCCTCCTTGCAGTGTTTGTCCTTCAAAGAGAGTCTCTGGGTGAACTTCACAATCCCAGACTCAGTCCTGAGAAACACAAACAGACAGAAATAGCATGATTACTCTAATACATACACGGATTTACTCAATGTTTCAATAAACACACACTGCTTGACAGCAGTGCAGAGCTTTACCAAACATTCCCATCATAATGTTTCATCACGATCCATGTGTATAAATATTTGATCTTCAATTACACACAAATAGTACAGTTAATTTCAGTGTCACTTTTAAAATGTAGATCAACTTTTTCTATCACTTCAATCAAAAATCCTTTTGCCCAAAATGGATGAAGATCATGAAAATAAAATAAAACATAATAATAATAAAATGATTATTATTATTATTACTATTATTCATAGCAAAAAATATGTAACTAACAAATATGGATAATGATATGAAACAAAACAAATAATAAGCATATAAATAATAAATAATATCATTTATTAATAATAAATAAAATTAATAAATATAAATAAAATTTAAAAACAATAAATGAATGAACAAAATAAAAAAAATTCATTTTTAAAAATTACATTCTTCAAAATCCTAAAAGTTTGCTGATTTCCAGGTTTTAACCAGTCCAGAGTTTTACCAAATATTTTCAATCATGTGTATAAATATTTGATCTTCAATTACAAACAAATAGTACAATTAACCATTTCAGCATCACTTAAAAAATGTAAACACTTTAGCTTGGTTAAATAAAAATAAATAAATAAAACATATTTAATAATAAAATTAAAATGTATTTTATTAAAATTATTATTAATAAATACATAAATAATAAAATGTGGATAATATAACAAAACAACTAAATAATAAACATATATTAAATTTAAATAAATAAATACATTATTTTTACTGTTTTACATCGTTTAAAATCCTAAAATGTTGTTTGTTTCCAGGTTTTAATTTTTGCATTTTTATTTATTTATTTTTAATCCCAGGTTTTCCCATTTTTAAAAGATTTTATATGAGGTCTGAGACTTTTGGACTAACTGTATATTTAAAAAAAAATCATTTAAAAAAAACTTAGAAGGAAAATATGTCTAATTATCAAGAAAATAATGTCACAATAAGGTGCAATATGACCTGGAGATGTTCTCCAAGAGATTCCCCAGTAAAACTTTATGTAAGAGGGATTGCATGTGTTGAATTTGTCGTCTCATTAGCAACAGTGTCGTCATAACAGCAGCAGCGGACGCTATATGCAGATCTGTGCGTGTGAGGCTGACAGAGCTGCAAATGCGTGAATGAACGATCCTGCAATCGCTTAATGACAAACAAGTCAACAAGTGTGACTGAAGAATGTTTAAACAGTGAAGGACAAGGTCAGCGGGCGAACGGCAGTGCCAGCGCATCCCAAACGCTCATGCCACGGAGAGGTGACCGCATCCGTATTTCTAGAGGGAATGTTCCTAGAAAGAAGCCGTTTGGGAATAAGACAGGAAGGACAGCGGGATGAATCTGATTCCGGCGGCAGCTGTTCTGGATGACACTGCGCTCGGTCGGGGTCTCATGTGCTGATGTAATGCCATTAGAAGATTTCTTTCAGTGGGAAGGCCTGAGTGATGACATCACCTCCTTCAAGAGCACACACACACGCTGTACGGACATGTACACACAAACGCCGGTATAAAAATAAATACCAAACATAAACACGGCACAAGTCAATGCTTAATTCGTATGCACTTTGAGACATGAGAGAGAGAGAGAGAGAGAGAGAGAGAGAGAGAGAGAGAGAGATCTGTTTCAAAATCAAGTCAGCTGCACAAAGCATTCTGGGATTGCCTTCTTTATGAAGGATACATTGTAGAATTTGGCCAATAGAACACTCAAAAATATTTAGGCTTAAATTTAGAAATTCTGTATTTGAATTGCATATAACATTTCCATGCATTTTGATTATGCCATTTAATATGATGCATATTTGTCAGTCATACATCAATGAAACAGGTCAGATTTCTCTAATAGTAACAATAAACTAAATAAATTTTAAAAACACAATAACCAGGTTTATATATTTATCATCAATAAATCCAATACAGGTAGAAAACAGGTCAGATTTATGCATAGCATAGTTTATTTTTAACTATTAGCATCTATTTGATTTTATTTAAATAATATTTTCAAAATACAATCATTCAAATTGCTTAGAATCATTGTGAAATCAATCAAATGTATTCAAAGTATGAACATGCAAGTGGAAAGCAATATAAAATGAATACAAATTAAATGAACTGGATTTATAAATGAACTGTCACACAGTTTTAACAAACAAACTAATAAACTTGATGAGAAGCATATTTGTCAGCAGTGTTAGGTGTAATGCAATACTAAGTTAATAATTATTGTAATTTAAAAGTAAGGGATTACTCTTATTTTTTTTGTAATTTAATTACAGTTATTCTGATGTAATTGCATTAAATACTGTATAGACTACAGGACAATACCTTCTCCCTTTAAATACACTGGTCAGTCCAAAAATAATTTATGCAATTTTATATCATTTATATAAAAGAATTAAAAGAGCAGTTTCATGTTTGTGAAGCAAATACGGGAAGTCGTGGCCCAATGGTTAGAGAGTCGGACTCATAACCCAAAGGTTGCAGGTTCGAGTCTCGTACCGGCAGGGATTGTAGGTGGGGGGAGTGAATGTACAGCGCTCTCTCCCACCTTCAATACCACGACTGAGGTGCCCTTGAGCAAGGCACCGAACCCCCAACTGCTCCCCGTGCGCCGCAGCATAAATGGTGTGTTCACTGCTGTGTGTGTGCACTTTGGATGGGTAAATGCAGAGCACTAATTCCGAGTATGGGTCACCATACTTGGCCACATATCACGTCACTTTTTCACTTTTTAAAAAAAAAATACTTAATACTTTTTAGAGAGAGTTATTAGTACAGTAATCTACAGTAATTACACTGTTGAAGATGTAATTAGTAGCTAGAAATTAAATACTTTTTTAGAGTAACTTACCCAACGCTTCCAGTCATGCATAAATGAAATAGGTCAGATTTCTGTAATAGTACTAAAATTTGAATAAATGCATTTTATGATTATTTAAATCAAATCAAATCGTTATTAATAATGCTATGATTTTTTGAGTGTGTAAATCTCACCTGTTTCATTGATGTATGACTGACAAATATGCATCATATTAATTTAATAAGTCTGTTCAAACTGTAATTCAACTGGATGGAAATTTGATATGCAATTCAGAGTATTTTTTTGAGTGAAGGCAGTACTATCTGTATGCGGTCTAGGTAGGCGTCTCACTAGGTTTTGGAACGGAGATGGAGAGCGAGGGAGAGGTGAGTGTCTGCCTGTGTTGTTTGATGTCGATGAGCGCTCAGACTGCAGCCAGTGTACAGATCCAGCGCTTCGGCCCAGGCTGCTCATTAGACGAGCATATAAATACCAAACACACACAGTATTAAACAGCAGTGCCAGCGCAGACAGAAACTGGTTAGTTAGGGCTAAAATAAAAGCTCTCCATACCGCACATCAAATGTGTTGTGCCGTTATTCCACTTAAAGGCTTTGTCCCTCTCTCTCTCACACACACACACACACATACACCAGTGGTATAAAGTAGTTGAGTAAATGTAATTAGTTACTGTACTTGAGTATCTTTTTGTCTACTTTGTAGTTTTACTGAGTATCAAAGGTATTAGCAACTTTTACTCTCTGCTTCACTCCATTTTTGAATCAGTATCACTCCAATACATTTGTAATAATTCATGCAATTACTCATTACATTTTGCATGGCACCTAACTTTTTCTGCAGCAGCTTATTTTTACTACAAAAGAAGCAATATTGCGATCTACAGGGCAATCTTGTGCGTTTTGGCCTTACTCACCCAAACTTGTCAACAAGGCTTCTTTATGTGAATGTGAGTGAATTAGCAGGTAGGAATCCCGGTGTTTTATATACGAGATGAGGGCATTACTACAGCCAGCGGTGAGGCTGAAACCAGCACGTCTAGTGCAAGAAGGCTTGGACATTTTCATTTTAAATACGTAAATTAAATACTTAAGTACTGTTAAAATCAGATACTCTTTACTCAAGTCGTTTTGTAATTAGTGGCTTGTAACTTCTAATGGAGTCATTTTCGCTATAAGGTATCTGTACTTTTACTCAAGTATGGTTTTTAGGTGCTCTTTACACCTCTGACACACACACACACACACACACACACACACACTGGGGTTTGTGTGTTACTTTCAATGAACAAAAATCATCACTAAAGTGACTCAGAATAGAAGAATCAACTTGATTCTTAATTCAAATCATGATTGTGAATTTAAATTGGAATCAGTCACACTCCTCATAGGAAGTTCAACTGGCATTTCAATTTGAGTGACAGGAGGAGGAATTTACTGAATTCACAATTCAGCATCAGTGACGCATTCTGGGAAATAAAGCATTCTTCCACCCAGATCCCCCCCAAAAAATCAATCTATCTATCTGGCAATTTGTCTTTTCGTCTATCTAT